ACCCACCACTCACCCATTTACTCCCACTCTCCCTGTTTCTCCTGGGCCATCTGAGACTTGCGCTCTCCTTCACAGAGCCCCTTTCCTTCTCTCTGGCATTTGGGGGCTGTGGTGCTCTGGGTGACGGGGTGGAGGCACTGACACAGTTTAGCCCCACAACCTACACATTTTATTTGGATGCTGTCCTCAGATCCCCAGGGAAAAAGCTAGTTTGCTTGGCATTTCATAAAGGGCAGGGATTTCGGCAGTCTTGGAGAGTTTGGGGAAAATGCGTAGAGGGGCAGAGCGCTTAGATGGGTCAGAACTTAATTCTGTCTGCTAGCAGCTGGGTGAAGTGTTCTGTGGCAGCACAGAGGGTCTGGGAGGAAAGACCAAGGGGCAGCCGAGGCGGAGGAAAGGTGAGGGAATGGAGAGAAACGAGCTCCCTGCAAGAAGGGTGCAGTGTGGCCAGGTACCACCAGAGGGCAGAGCGGCTACCTTCTCTGGCCTCCTGTTTAAACCAGCCATTTTTTACTCTCTGCACTTCAGAATCATCTGGGAAGCTTTCAAAAAATACCGATGCTGAGTCCTAAGGCCGAGATACTATGATTCAGTCATTTTGGGGTGGGGCTCCTACATCAGTTTCTGTTTGTTTTTTAAGCCCCCCCAGGTGATGCTAATATTGGAAGTTTTGCAAACTAACGTACTAAGTGATTTGGGGCTTTATTATCGTGATAGATCCAGCCCCTCATCGATTTATTTATGACTAGAGTGTTTCATGCTTGTGCTAGGTTTTGGGGTAACATAAATTGAGACAGTCTCCACTTTTAAAGAGCTCGGACACGCAATGTACAATTGTCAACAGTTGGTGAGTGCTGAGGGCCAGGAGAGCACAGAGGAGGAATGCACACTGAGCTGAGCCTGTGGGCAGTCATGAGGGCTCCCTGGAGGAGGCCAACTCCTGGGTTTTACAAATGTTAAATAGATATTGGAGATACAGGAATGAATTGGATGACCTGGAGGGTACAGTATATATAAAGACCTAAAGGCAAACATTTGGGGGTCAAGTAATTCAATGTGTCTGGAGTGTAATGCAGAGAAGAGGGAGAGTTAAAATTCAAGGTGGGAGGAGGCAGGGGTTATAAGGTCTTCTTGAAGATTCTTGAATTCCAGCTAAAAAATTTTGGATTCAGTTAAGGACTTGAGATCTTGGAACAATAAGGAACATTGAAGAACTTTAAGAAAAGGAACCATGTGGCTGGATTTGCCATTTCGAGTGATCAGTCTGGCTATGGTGAGGAGGACTGATCCTTAGGGAGTGAAACTCTGAAGCAGGAAGATCAGTTAAGAGGTTATCCTCAGGTAAGAGGCGATGGTGGCCTGAACTTCGGTGAGAGAGCAAGGGGGACAGGTGGAAGTGGACAGATCCAAAAGATGTCAAATGAGAAAAATAAAAAAGCGAACATGGAACTTAGTAATTGGGAGGCATGAGGTCAGAAGCTAGCAGGTACATAAAAGCGAAGACAAGACAGAAAGTGTCAATGACTCTGCATTCCTGTGGAGGGGAAGCAGCAGCCAGGATAACAGGTGGGCAGTTGGGAGGGGTGGGCATGGAGTGGAGGGAGGCGAATGTTGAGGACACACTGAAGAAGTAGATTTGAGAAGAGATAGTTTTATAACTGAACCATAAAGTGCCAATCAGACTTAAAATCAGAAAGAGCTTCAGAATATCACTACTTCACAAAGACCTAGGAGACAAGGGCACGTTCAGGAGAAGTTTTGGGGTCCAGGACAGGGCTGGTCTCAGGATGGGTGGCCTGGGAGAATGCCTGCTCCTGTTTCAGGGGGGCTGAGAAGATCCCCCACATAGTCCTGATGTTGCCCCACCTCTTGGCTAAAGTGGGCTGAAACACCACTGTTGGAGCTTGGACAAATCCCTGGGAAGGAGGCAGCCATCTCTCAGTAGGGCCCATGTGATTCCTAGGGTGGGTCGTTAGGGAGGGAGCCCCAAATCACCGTGAAACTAGGACTAAAACATAGAAGTCAAACTTCCCAGTGTCCAGTCCACATTCCTTTTTCCCTGGTTGGACTTAAAGAAATGAGGACAACCTGGACAGAGTCAGGGCCAAGCCCCCAAATGATGAGTGAGTGTCTCTCGTGCCATCTCCAAACCCATTGTAAACTGCATCTACGGGAAGCGATTTCCCCCTCCACTGATGTGTACGCACACAGTTCCCTTTGGTCTGAGCTCTCCTCCCCCCGAGTCACCTGATGACACCTACACATCTTACAGGACCTAGCTCCGAGGTCCCCTTGTCTGAAAGCCTTCCCCATCTCCTCCAGCCACAGTTGGTCACCAGAGCCTCTCCCACATTACAGTTTAATTCTTGGTTTCTCTGCCTCCCTCCCCTTTCAAACCTCTGAGGGCCTCTGAGAGGCACAAAGTGAATAAATAGGATGCCTACCAAAAAGGCCCACAGCCACCCACACGCACACATACCCACACTAATTACACTTGTTATTTTTCTTTATATAAAACTGCCATAGGGACTCCTTGAAGCAAGCAGGGCTTATCCTCTTTGCATGTCTTTGGATTTGAGAACACTCTTGTGCGTGGCACGTACAGAAACAGCAGTCCCTGAGTCCGCCATACCTTGTGTCTGGGGAATTGCAAGTGGAGTTCCCCGTGGGCTTGGGTGAAGCAGAGCTCCAGGCAAGCCGCGCGCCCCGGGCAGTGTCCCTGTCTTGCCTAAGTGCTCTCTCACTTTGCTCTCTCCAGGGAAGGCTCCCGGTGCGCTGGATGGCAATCGAGTCACTGAATTACAGTGTGTATACAACCAACAGTGACGTGTGAGTAAGCCTTTTATTTTGAGGGATTTTTTTCCCCCCAGGAAAATAAGCATTTGACAGAGTTCTTAAAGAGAAGCAGGACTATGATGTCCCTCTGTGGAATAAAGCTCGTCAGTAAGCCCAGGAAATAAATTCATAGTCTACAAAAGGAAGCCTCAGAGTAGACCGTTTTCATCGTGTAAGGCCATTGGTAGCAGGCCGTGGGTTTCCTTCTGCCGGTCAAGGAGAAGTGGTGAATTCTCAGTCTGTAGAGAGGCAAGGGGCATATGGGGCTTCCTGTGGCTCCGAGTCCCAGACCGACCTCAACGTACAGGACCCAGAGCGTGGAGGCAGCCCAGACTAGCTGCTGGGGGTCTGAGGTGGCAGGGACAGAAGGCAGGCCAGAGCAAGAGCACGTCTCTGCTCTCAGCCTGCAGGGACAAGTGTCAGGCTGCCAGTGGACAGGAGGGTTGGGAGTGAGACCTAGGCCATGTGGAGGCCTCGAGGGTTGAGGTGACTTGTCCAGGGAGTTTAGCTTCTGCCTGGGGAAGGGCAGAGGGCTGGCGAGTACTCGTATCCTCGCTGCATGCAACGTGCCTTTTGTATGTTCTCTCACATCCTCTCTGCAGAGCTTAGAGGCAGCAGTTGGTGTTCCCACTTTCAGAACACACTGAGAGGCCTCAAGAGGTTCAGTAACTTGTCCCAGGTCACACGAGTACCAGGGTGGCAGAGCTGGGTTTTAACCCCAATCTCTCAGCTTAGAGTTGCACCTGCTGTCCCCAGCACCGTCCCATGTTCTCTGCCTAAAGCGAGTGGGGGCTCTAACGCGGTTTCCCTGGTAGAATCCTTCCATCGGCCCAAGAGGAGGTAAACACATGCCACGCCAGGGCCCTGTCCTAGGGAGCGCCCACATTTGACATTTCCTTTTCTGGCAAAGCGTCCATCACCCTGACTTTTGAGGCAGAAAACTAACTGGTCAACTTGTTTGATTACTGGTTTCCCTGTCGTGTCCCCTGCAGATGGTCCTATGGAGTGCTACTGTGGGAGATCGTTAGCTTAGGTGAGTATCCATGTTTATCTACCAGGTGAGACTACAGGCGATGGGCCTGGGCCCCTCCCATGATCCCTCACTGTGTCATTCCACAGGTGCCATTTTTATGTTTTGATGTGGCACCGCCAGGTGGGACTGGGACATAGAACTTGATAGGTTTCTGTGTCTGAGTGTGTGTGTTCCCATGTTTCTTTTTTGAGAGCCCTGTATCTAATGTCATGCTTCACACTAACAACCTGGTAGCTGGGAGATTCATTAGAGGTTGTCTCTGAGCAGGGATGTCATAGAACTATTGCAAGTTTGCCTGTACAACTTGAAGATGGTATGTTACACAGCCATGAAAAGTCATTTCTGAAGGCCATTTAATAGCATGTGGAAACATGCATGTCAAAATCCAGAAATTTCCTTACGCTGGGATCCCAGTTTTATAACTGCTACCCATGAAAAACCTGGAAGGAGTACACAGAGAGTAATACAAACTATTGCTTGCTTTCTTAACTTTTTTGTATTTTCCAAGTTTTCTATAGGAAGCATGTCTTATAATTAAAATTGGGCAGTAACTATTATAGATCAAAAAGGAAGTGGATAACCTAACTGCAGACTCCCAAGTAGGAAAAGATACCATCTCACTGGTACACTAGATGAGCTGGGCAGGCTGACTTTGGGGAAGAGAAATAGCGCTGTGAGTAAGGAGCCCCGTGCTGGATCTTTCCACTGAGGGGATGGCCACCCTGTGGTGTGGTTGGAGGCCTACGTGCAGCGGGGCTGTGCAGTGGGTTTGCTCAGACAGGAAGATCACGCTGGGTGGGCACCCTCCCTTGACATACCCTGTCTTTCTCCCAGTCTCTCGGCTTGAGAGGCTCGGGGCAGGTGACACTGCTTTCCACACTAGCAGGGGCTTAGGGCAACGTGGTTGTCTGTCTTCCAGGTGGCACCCCCTACTGCGGGATGACATGTGCAGAACTGTACGAGAAGCTGCCCCAGGGCTACCGACTGGAGAAGCCCCTCAACTGTGATGACGAGGTGTAAGCCAGGCCACACCCTAGGGCCGTTTCTTCTTGACCTTCCCCTCGTGTTCCTGGGACAGACAGGCTCTAGTGAAGGGGTTATCTCATTCACACACACATTGCCCTCCCAAATGGGCAGGAAGTTAAGAGCTTTATCTGCGTAGAAATCCAGCAGGAATTGAAGGTGATGAGATCGGGAAGGTGGACATGAGGAAAGGCAACAAATGGAGAAAAGATCTGAAATTCATGAATAAATGTATGAAACCTTGAGGCTCACTTTGGGGATAGAGATTTCAGAGCTGTGACATGAGGAAGATGGATCTTTTTTAAATCACAGAATCTTGATTCTGCAAGGATAATTTTCCAGGACTAAGAATTATTCCCCAGGGAAGGATGATGTGAAACCACCGTTCCCAGAACTACCTGCAAGTCGCTGCTGCCTGACGGGCATGATATGAAAGAGCAAGGCTCTAGGTTCAGCCAAGGATTTATTGTCCACATGGAGCCACTTCTAAGAAAGTGTGGTATTAATTAGGTCACTGGTACAAGAGGCAGGAACCTAGACCCTGCTGCGTTGGTAACCTTTGGGGCACATAAGGTTCCCAATGTGAAATTTTGAGCCCTACCCCCGGACCCTGCTTCTATAGGTCTAGGGTGGGTCCCAGGAATATGCATTTTAATGCAAGTGGTTCTGACCACATTTGGGGGAGTACTGCCTTAGACCAGTGCTTCCCCCACTATGTTCCTGGTACATGCAAGATGCAAATAGATGATACAAGGCAGAAGGAGCTCTGTGGTCACTTACAGGGGGCAAGTTCCAGGTTAAGTCAGGTCACACAGGTTTTTTGTTTGTAATGGCAAGACTTCTCAAGCTTTTACTCTGCTAATCCCTAAGAGGGAGATGCAATAGGTGGATCTTGCAAATTTATTAGAGCATGGAACCCTTTTTTAAAAAAAAAACAAATTACTAACATTTTGAGAGATGGAGTATTCCAAGGGAGATGCTGCCCTAGACACGAGTCAGCTCTTTCCAGATCATCAGAAGAGCTGAGACCAAGATCCCGCAGGAACGGTACTGAGGATACGCGCTAGTTTTACTGACAGAAGAAAGGGGGATGTGTGTGGGGGGGGCGCGGGGGGAGGCCAGAGAGAAACTCGGTGCTCTACTTTTGTGCTGTTGGTTAAGCACAGATGCCCATGTGTGAATTGGCTACATTCCCTTCTCTCGTTTCCATACCCCACACCGGGCCATGCCCAGGACTGAAGCCGAGTCACAGAGTTCACTGCTTAACTCTTTGTTTTCAAAGGTATGACCTCATGAGACAGTGCTGGCGGGAGAAGCCTTACGAGAGGCCCTCGTTTGCCCAGATCCTGGTGTCCTTGAACAGGATGTTAGAAGAACGCAAGGTGAGCATGGAGTTCCAGGCAGGCTCTTGAGTCACGATTCGTCATGCACCCTATATGGTTAAAAAAAAAAAAAGCTGATACAATTCAACAAGCTGTTCTGGGCATAGCCCGAGGCAAGAGAGGGTCATAAAAGACATGGCCCCCAACTTTGAGGATGTTACAATGTCCGAGTTAATAAGATTTCTATAAAAGAGAGAGTCACACACGGTACAACAGATAGAATTAGCCTCTGAGCTAGAAGGACCCTCCTCAGTAATCGAGCCTGACTCTCGAATTTTACAGAAGAAATCTACACAAAGAGGTGAGAGTGATGTGTCCAAGGACACACAGCTGATAGACTGTATAGCCTGGTCTGGAGGTTCCTAGGGGGAGGGTCAGGAATTCCTTAAAAAGGTCTAGCAGGTAGTTGGCTATACAGATCTGAGGTTGAAAAGACAAATTTAGGTTAGGGAAATAGATGGAAAGTCACCACTCAAGGGGTAATTAAACCGGAGACGTGGGTGAGATCACATAGAGGAAAATGGGGACTGAGAAATGATCGTGAGAGACTGGGACATTTCCGGAGGGACCACAGAGAGATAAGAAAGAATGGCCCAGAGACTGAGGAGAGTAAGAGGATGAAGTCTTAGGTGTAGAAGGCAAGGGATGCATTTCAGGAAGAAAGCTGTCAAATACAACATGGGGACTGAGGACAGAAAAACGTCCCCCAGGTACCTAGTATTTGAATCGAAACAAGTTAAGCAAGTTAGGGTCTGACTATTCCTGCCCCTCTGAACCGCTCTTGCTCTCGCAGACCTACGTGAATACTACACTTTATGAGAAGTTTGCCTACGCCGGGATCGACTGCTCTGCTGAAGAAGCAGCCTAGAACAGCCCACATCCATCTGTACGTAATGTTGCCCCTTCCCAGGCATGTCAGACCCTTGATGCCAAGAAAGCCAGCAAGACTCTGCCAAGAGAGGTGACACGGAATATAAAAATGTATATATATTGCTGTATGTCTGGGACGTGACCACAGAAACCCCTGTGTGTGAATCTATAGGACACTTTGACTCTACTAGGACTGTATATACTGTTTTGAGTAAGAATGTGCTGAACTCAGAATGCCTGTTTATGGTTTCATATGCAATAATATATTTTTCTAAAAATATGGACTTTACAGGAAGGTGTGCGAGTACAATTACTATGATGCCTAACTCATTATCACCCTGGATGTTTTTGATATTTACCTTCATAGTGAATGCTATAAAATGTTTTGCTGTATAGAACAAAGATGTTGTTAATAAACCTCACACCCACCCTGACAGCACCAGTGAGGAAAGTGGGGGAAATACGTTAGATTATCAGGACATAGGTGAACATCTGAAAGGGATTCTTCTATCCATCTCTAAACTTTCTCCCCGACCTGTAGAAGCCATTTCAATTTCACTTGGTCATTGGACACCTCCGTCATGTGTTTCCAGAGCCCACGAGTCAATCCATCTAGAAGGGGACTTAACTCTCATTCCGTAGGAGTCTAAGGATCTTTAGAGAAGTACAAGTTTGATAAATTAATGGGATTTAGTTTTAGTTTCTCTGGTGACATGGATTTGTGTATTTTAAGAAATCGAGCAGGAACCCTGGGATTCTATTTGGGAGACATGTGACATTTGTACCGACAGGACATCCCTTCACATACTACACATTGTACAGTTTCCATGCTGATCAGTTGTGAGTTTACAGTTTATACCGTAGGCACACATTGCCCTGAGATCGTACAGTAAGTGAATAAATGTCTTGCCTACCTGTTTTTCGTCTGGGAATGTTTCTCCTAGGTCTTGCCAGATGTCTTTCAAGTTACCGTCCTCCAGCTCCGTCGGTAAGATGCCCGTAGCGCAGTGGGTGTGGTACTCCACCAGACATGCTAGTTCCAGCTCGCAGGACTGGAAACATCGAGAAGTGTTCTGTCTGGTCCACTTTCTGTGCCTCCAGTAGTGTTCCAAGGTCAACTGAGGGCTTGGAACTGGAATCTCTCTTAAATGGGACAGTGTGAAATCGGTCAACATACAGCATAAAGTTCCCTATTCCTGCCCCTTAATCCACCTCACGTGTTCAGGTAGAGACAGCACAAGCAAGGCTGCTAGCATACCCTGAATCAACAGCTGGAAACTCAGTGAAGAGCCCTTGAACACAGGTCCAGATACCTGTCATAGCTCCTTTGGCTTTTTACCCATGTGTTGTAGACATACTCTGGACCGCGCTTAGTTTCAAAGTACGTGGAACTGAACAAGGATGACCTGAAAATGCCGATAATCCCTTCAAATTTTGCATATGATTTTGGAACAGACTTTTTTTTTTCCTTATAATAGTCTGACCTTCTTAATTATATATTACTTAAATTCATAATGATCTAAATTTGAATTATTTTACTTCACCTCAAGTACATGACAAGAGACCTGGCTGAGAAGGACGTGGGACAGCAAGAAAAAGATGTAAGTCACAATACGAAGGCATCCACACAAGCAACTGTCAGAAGGTGACTGGGGTACTTCCGGCACAGAGGCCCTCCTATCGATTACACCGACTCACCTGTTCTATTGGCAATAAAACCTTTGTGATTTTGTAGCATGTCAGCAACAGTAATATTGAAGAGTCATACTTACTTAAGGGTAATCAAACAGAATAAAGTCATGTAGTTTCCACATTTTGAGAAAGCAAGAAAGATGGCGCTAACTCCTCAAAAGAATGAGACAATTCAGGTATTGGGAATGCAGGTTACTGTGTTTAGAAGATCCAGATACTGCCTTAAAAAAAATGAGTTGTTATGAATTAAAATCCAGTCACAGTACACCAGTTAGAATAAAAACACATTACACAATAGCCAAATGACCAAAATCTTTATGTTAACAGAGTATGCTGAAAAGTTTACATTTACTTTGTGAGGAAAATCTATTCTATTTATATATGAGACCTAAAAAAAATTCTGTTGGGTCAAGATGGTTTTCGGTATTTGGAGAGAAAAAGAAATGTACGTCACCGGAGACATGACCCTGATGGAGGACACGGGCCCACTGGTTCAACTGTAAACCGCGATCCACTGTCACACGCGATCCATGAGGAAGAGTCGAAAATTCAAACCAACTTAATCCTCCCAACTAACCGCCCCCCACCCCACGCACAGCTTCTGAAATAAACTGTGGAAGCTTAACCTTGAACATGTAATAAATAAACCTCAACAGCACTTTTCTTTCTCCTCTTTGAAGAAAAAGGTCAAGAAACTTCCTACCATCATAGACCCAACTCTACTGTCAGCAGGAGAGATGTCACTGAAACAACACTGCAGGGATTTCAGATCTGCTCAGGCAAAGTGATTACTTCTTCCCTTTTAGGTCTTCTTTCACCTTCCAGAGAACCAGCTCCATGCAGGCGGCAGCACTTTCACTTGAACTGTGACCTCCAAACGGTACAGAATATAAAACAACGTGTTAGACCTACAACGACTTCATCCGTGATACACCACAGCGGTTCGCAGAACGAAGCCTTAAGTTCATGTGTCTAAAAAATTAACACTGAGCACTTACCAAAATATGATTGATTCCTTTGTAAAGATTATACATAAGTCTAGATTAGCAAACATCTCCCTCTTCCTATGTAGCCTGTCCTCACATTGTCACCTTCCCCATATACCTCTTTTACAGAGAACAACAAAGCAGCAGGCATTAGTAAAAGATCTGGCAAAAAGCCAAAAATAGAGAGTGCTAGAAAAAGTACAGCTCTCTACACCAAGAATGACCTCAGATACAAGTGCATGAAATTTACCCAAAATATAAAGCCTACAGTTCTGGTGAGAATAATAAATGATGTATGAGATTAAATGAGAAAAGTCACATGATCAACACATCTAAAATGGTATGGTATTTTTCATTTGTGTTATTCTGGAAAAAAATGGGGTATTAGATGTTTGTATAAGCTGTTTTTTGTGAAGTGAAATATTTTCCTGTCTAAGGTTCAAGACAGTTTTCAATAGAACACATTACATTTTATAATAGAATTTTGTAGGAATTTTTTGAGATGTATTTTTAGCAAAACAGACGAAGACCCACCGAGACAACAGCAGTGTCTAACAGACAGAGTGAAAGAATAAAGACCACACGGTACACTTGGTATTTTGATCAGAGGGCCTTCCCATATCTTAGGTATCCTTAGAAACACAGCACTGTAACATAAATTTTAACATACGCAGAATTAATTTTCTTAGACTTCTATGTTGTGCGAAAGAGGAGCCTACACGGGCACGCATGAATGTAGAGAGTAACTAACCTCCATTCCAAGGCAGACACTGCTCAACTGTGCACAGGGCAATGCCACTTATGGGGTAGTTGGTAGCTATCCTTGCTCTACTTGATTAACTTGTTTAATGTTGGGTGTATTTCATCAGAAAAAACAGATGTTCTGAGAGCAAGATACACACACCACCAGTATAAATCAAGTGCACATATGATGAATCTATTGAATTTGAACAATTCTTTTTCTAACACAACACACACAATTTACTCTGGGTGAGATGACCCACACCCAGTGAATTCTGGAATCTCATTTGATGAAAAGCTCGTATGAAAAGGGGTACCCAGCTAAATTTAGACTGGAATTAGATCTCCACACCCACAGAAGTTTTATACATGAACTCAAAGGCCAGGCAACTTTCCGAACAAAGATTTGGCCACCATTCTCTGTAATGGTTATTCTGATGCCCGTGGAAGATCCACGATGACACCAGGCAGTGGGCATTTTAGTGCTTTTTACATAACAAGATGCTTTAGGGTTCTCCACCCTAGGAGAGAATCCATACAGAAAAACCCACCTTAAGCACTTCAGGGAGCAGACCTTTTACCATGAATCCCATGGTTTGTTTACTCAAGTCAGACTTAGGATCCTGATATTAATCAGGAGCAAACAGGCTCTTACCATTGTCCTGAATGATCCTCTGCAGGTGGTCAGCCACTAGACTCTTGAGGGATCTTTTGTGAGGCAAGCCTAGCCGATGAGGAAACAGAACTGTCGTGTCCACAACTGAAGTATGAATTAGCTGTCAAATGAAAGAGAAAATCCTCTCAGAAGCTCTCCCCAAAGAATAACAACACTGATCACAGCAACAATCATTGTAGAGGGAGAACTATGCTTCATGGGCAAGGAATGTGAGGCAGCTAAGACTATCAGTCATTAAGCCCTCCACATGGATTAATCATTACAACTTGCAGACTAACCTAATGAGGTAGATATTTTATTGTCCCTTTTATGATATTGGCCCTTTTTGCAGCCAAGGGAACTGCAGCTCTGAGAGATGAAGAACGGAGTTAGGAGAGTACCTGGAAATCGCATCTAAGTGGTCTGATTTGTGGATCCACTTTCCTCCTGTGAGCACCACCAGGGGGCAGCATGTGCAGACAGGTTCCAACCAAGACTCGGGGTAGATGCAGAGTAACATTCCCACCTTGGGACTCCGCTGAGGGGGGCACACCTCAACTTAGCACATGTCCTACCACATATGAGTGGTTTACTTGTGTGTGTCTGGGGAGGGGTCATAGACAAGGACCCTGTCGCGTCTATGTCCAAATTTCCTGTGCTTATACATGAAAGATGATGCATAAACTTCCACTGAAGTTTCATACAGCAGAAATTAAGATAGATAAAAAGAAGAGCAGTCAGATAACTGAGAGCCTAGAAAGTTAGGTACCAGTTTGGATTCTTGAGGAGGGGAGCTGTATTTTGAAAGGAGCATGGAAGAAGATTAGCTTCAAGAATAATTTAAAGTCTCATTGAAAAATGAGGAGTTGGAAAGTTAACATTTAGCACCAGTATGCCATGTTTAGAAGCACTTTAAATTCTCCTTTAATGTGTCAACTACCAACCAGACACCAGTTCCTGGCTGTGGGGTACTGAATAAATCAAAGAAGACAGTGGTAGAAATAGAGAAGAATAGGAAAATCCAAGAGTTGTCTGGACAGAAGAAACAGACTGATTACAATGAAGAATCTTGATGGTTTAGGATTTTCTGGTCTAGGAGACAGGTGGAATAAAATCGTTCCTGAAAAAGGAGAGGAAGTCATGGTGAAAAGTTCAGTTTGAGACGTGAGGTCTCTGAGGCGACAGAAGGACATCCCTGGAAGAACTTTCTCAAAGAAAACTTAGGTCTGTCCCCACCTCTCTTTTCGCACAGTTTGGTAGGTCTGGGTAGAAGCACATGTCAGACTTATCTGTCACAGGCAAACACAACACTGCTATTGGAAACAAATCTATACTTTGAATACCAGGTGCTTTACAGAGAACAGGGCTGACATTCACCTATGAAATTTAAATGGCCTTATTTGTATTCTTGCACCAAAGAAGAACTAGCTCTTCTCTGCATGAAGGTAAGTCCTCGGGGTGGCTAAAACAAAGAATCAGCAAATGTCTCCAAAGTTCGAGAGCTGTGCTATCCAAGTGGTAAGCCACCAGCTTACCACTGTTTAAGTGTGGCTGTTTAAATTTAATATAAAAAATGAAAGAATCATTTTCTCAGTCACATTAGACATATTGTAAATGTTCAATAACAAATGTGGCTAGTGTCTACCATGGTGTATAGTGAAAATATAGAAAGTTCTATCGGATACTAGTGTTCTAGAACAGAGGTGGTCACCAAACTCTTAAAAATGCCAAGCTGTAAATATTTTGGGCTTGCAGACCACACAGTCTCTGTCGTAACTATTTAAAAATGCTGTTGTAGCATGAAAGCAGCCACAGAAAATACAGAAGTGAATGGGGGCAGTGGGTCTAACAAAAATATTTGCAAAAATAGGTGGCCAGCACCGGCCACAGTGTTCTGACTCCTGTTCTAGAGCAAAGAACAGATAATTTTAACCTAAGTATATTAAGTATAATTTAACCTAAAGTATATTAAGGGGTAGATTTTCAAGTCTATCATGCCAAGAAAAATGAACATGACATTTGATTTTGAGCCTACCTGTAAGACCTACCTGATTTAATATGAAAAAGTATCTCCAAGTAGGTGAATAAAATAACCTGTTAGATAAACTTAGTCTTACCCATTTGAATATTAAAGACAATGTCAAACAATGATTCTGGCTTTATCCTAACTAATGGATTTTCTTTTTGATCTGGACGAGACCAATGACTTTAGCTGCCTTATACCACTTCTGGTTTATGATGGTTGGACTATATTATCAACATGGACAGCAATTCTTTTCTTCTTAGTTAACAGGGCAAATCAACAATCAATGATAATGCAATAATAAGGACTACCATCTTAACACATACTGTTCTGTGAAAGTACAAGGCTGTAATTCTTTACCTTAAGAGCATAGAGACTATGTTCAAAGCTATGTCCAATTAGTACAGTGTCAGCACTGAACAGGTTCAACAGGATGGCTTGGACATCACGGATCGATGTTTTAGTGTTCTTCAGGTCATCTTCGACCACACCAGAAAACCTGCCCCAGTAAGACACACAATGCAAGAAGGTAACTCGCTGGATTTCATCTGTTAGAGTTAGAACCCATCACTGACCCAGTGTGACAAACACTCACTGAACAAAACAAAGATCTTACTTATGACCATCAGCTATCCTTTACTAGCTTATATTTGTAAAATGTAATGTGGATTAATTAATGTAAACCTGGGAGGGGGGAGACATGAGGAGTTCACAGAGTTCCTTTGAACTCTCTTTGTATAATCTGAGCTTTATCTCCCATTAAAGTAAGCCTAAAACAGCCACCATGGAAAACAATATGGAAGTTCCTCAAAAAATTAAAACTAGAATTACCATATGATCCAGTAATTCCACTACTGGGTATTTACCCAAAGAAAACCAAAACACAAATTTAAAAAGATATATGCACCCCTATGTTTAATGCAGCATTACTTATAATAGCCAAGATATGGAAGCAACCTAAGTGTCTACTGATGGATAAAGATGTAGTGCACACACAGAGGAGTATTATGCAGCATTAAAAAAGAATGAGATCTTACCATTTATGACAACATGGATGGACCTAAAGGGTATTATGCTAAGTAAGTCAGACTGAGCTTTCACTCATATGTGGAATCTAAAAAACAAATAAGCAAAAAGCAGAACGAGATCTATAAATATAGAGAACTAATGGTTGTCAGAGGGAAGGGGGATGGGAGGATGGTCAAAATGGGCAGAGGGGAGTGGGAGATACATGCTTTTCATTATGGAGTAAGTAAGTTATGGGAATAAAAGGTACAGCATGGGGAGTATAGTCAATAAAATTTTAATAGTGTTGTATGGTGACAGATGGTAGCTACACTCGTGAGCATAGAATAATAGAGAGATATTGAATCACAATGTTTTATACCAGAGACTAATGTAACATTGTGTGTCTACTGGACTCAAATAATAAAAAATATAAAGCCTAAATATGAAATATGGGTACCATGGAAGAACCCTAGGCAGAATCCAGATAACCTAAGTTCGAACTCTGCTATGACTCTACTACTTACTTACTATATTTGTGGGGTGTTTTTTACTGTTTTATTTATTTATTAAATTTTTAATTTTAACTCCAGGATAGTTAACATACAGTATTATATTAGTTTCAGGTGGACAATATAGTGATTCAACAATTCTATACATTACTCAGTGCTCATCATGGTAAGTGTACTCCTACTCCCCTTCACCTATTTCCCCATCCCCCCATTCCGTCTGGTAACCATCAGTTTGTTCTCTATAGTTAAGAGTCTGTTTATTGGTTTCTCTCTCTTTTTTTTTCTTTGCTCATTTGTTTTGTTTCTTAAATTCCATATATGAGTGAAATCATAGGGTATTTGCCTTTCTCTGACTTATTTTTCTTAGCATAATACTCTCTAGCTCTATCCATGTTGTTGCAAATGGCAAGATTTCATTCTTTTTATGGCTGAATAATATTCCATTACATATACATATATATGTGTGTGTGTATATATATATACACACACACACATACCACATCTTCTTCACACTTACTATATTTGACTTTCAGAACGTTACTTAACCTTCTGGTCTCAGTTTTATCTGTAGAGTTAATTACCTATCTTAATGGTTTATGAAAACAAGTGAAATACATGCAGAAAACTACACTAGTGGACTCCATTGAAGCACATTCTAAGTAACTGTCCAGAAACATGGCTACTTCTATGCTTTACTGCAATTTAGGAGAAAAGCAAGACATAAAAATACTGGCAAAGTATTTTTAACTTAAAGTACATATTGATATTATTGTCTCCTGTAAACAAAACATACATGACTCCACTTTTATTTAACATAGTATAAGAAGTATTAGCTAGAGCAACGAGGCAGGAAAAAGAAATAAAAGGCATCCAAATTGGAAAGGAAGAAGTTTCAAACTGTTTGCAGATGACATGATTTTATATATAGACAATCCAAAGACTCCACCAAAAAACTGTTAGAATAAATGAGTTCAGTAAATTTGCAGGGTCCAAAAAAATCAGTATACAAAAGTCTACTGCATTTTTATACACTAATAATGAAGTTTCATTAAAAAAATTAAGAAAATACCATTTACAAGCATCAAAAAGAATAAAATACCTAGGAATAAGTTTAATCAAGGAGGTAAAAGACCTGTACACTGAAAATTAAGACACTGATGAAAGAAATTGAAGGGGACATCAGTAAATTCAAAGATATTCCATGCTCATGGATTGGAAGAACACTATTAATATTACCATATCACCCAAAGAAGTGTACACATCCAATGCAATCCGTATCAAAATTCCATGGCATTTTTCACAAAAACAGAACAAGCAACTGTAAATTTTGTATGGAACCACAAAAGATCCTGAATAGCTAAAGCAATCTTGAAAAAGAACAACAAAGTTGGAGGCATCACACTTCCTGATTTCAAACAATATTACAAAGCTATAGTAGTCAAAACAGTATGGTACTGGCATAAAGACAAACGCAGAGATCAATGGAACAGAATAGAGAGTCCAGAAATAAACCCATGCATATATGGTCAATTAATCTAGGACAAAGAAAGAGTGAATACACAATGGAGAAAGGATAGTCTCTTCAGTAAGTGGTGTTGGGAAAACTGGACAGCCACATGCAAAAGAATAAGAGTGGACTACTATCTTATACCATACTCAAAAATTAACTCAAAAAGAATTAAAGACTTGACTCTTAAGACCAGAAACCATAAAACTCCTAGATTCTAAGGCAAAACACTCCTCGACATTGATTTTAATCTTTTTTTTTTTTTTTTTGGATCTGACTCCAAAGCCAATGGCAACAAAAGCAAAAATAAACAAATGGGACTACCTTAAACTAAAAAGCTTCTGCAACCATCAACAAAATAACCCACGGAATGGGAGAAGGTATTTGCAAATCATTTATCCAATGAGGGGTTAATATCCAAAGTATATAAAGAACTCTTACAACTCAACAAAAAAATCCCAAACAATCGGATTAAAAAATGGGCAGAGGATCTGAATAGACATTTTTGCAAAGATATAGAGATGGCCAACAGACACATGAAAAGATGCTCGACATCACTCATCATCAGGGAAATGCAAATCAAAACCACAATGAGATACCACCTCACACCTGTTATATGGCTACTGTCAACAAAATAAGAAATAACAAGCGTTGGCAAGGATGTGGAGCAAAGGGAACCTCCGTGCACTGTTGGTGGTAATATAAATCGGTGTAGCCAACATACTGCCAGTATACAGTATATATGGTACATAGCCGTATACTATGCAAAACATGGAGCTTCCTCAAACAATTAAAAACAGAACTACCATATGATCCACCAATTATACTTCTGGGTATCTATCTGAAGAAGATGAAAGCACTAATTTGAAAAGAAATATGTACTCCAGTGTTTATTGCAGCATTATTTTCAATAGCCAAGATATGGAAATAACCTAAGTATTCACTGATGGATGAATGGATAAGAAGATGCAGCATAATATCTACAAAGAAATACCACTTAGCTCTAGGAAAGAAATCTTGCCATTTGTGACAACATGGATGAACCTTAAGGGTATTAGGCTAAGTGAAATAAATCAGAGAAAGACAAACACCTTATGATTTCACTTATATGTGGAATCTAAAAAACAAAATAAATGAACAAACAAAACAAAACTCACAGATACAGAGATCAGAATGGTGGTTTCCAGAGGGGAAGGCAGTCGGGGGTAGAAAAAATGGGTTAAGGAGACCAAGAGGTACAAATTTCCACTTATAAGTCAAGTGGATGTAACGTACAGCAATGGGGACTCTAATCATTAATACTGTACTATAAAATTGAAAGTTGTTTAAAAAAGGAAATCTTAAAAGTTCTCACAAGAAAAAAGTTTTTAAACTGTATGGTGACAGATAACTAGTCTTATTGTGATGATTTCACATGCAAATGACAAATCATTATATTATACACCTGAAACTGACAATGTATGCCAATTATACTTGAATAGTTAAAAAAAAGATACCTGGCTCCATCATCAAGCTTAGGGAATTTGATAAATAGTTAATCAACTCTTTGGATTAAGAAGAAATTATCATGGAGTACTTGGGCTTACTTTAAAACATTTTTAAAAAATTCAATGCACTGAATGCATTTGAAGTTTTTTTGAGACTCAAAATTATTTATAATGCAAGCCCTTCAGTTATCATTTTGTCACTATGAATATCAATAATTACCAAATTATTTCCAAAAAAGCAGTTAGGAAAGATTCCATTAAACCATGAAAGAATAAGTACCACTAGAAGTACAGTAACATTAAGTATGTTACAATTTTGTTTGTCAATATACCCCAATAAAGCTGAAAAAAAAAAAAACCAATAAAATAGGACTATTCAAATGTGGCCAAAATGAGTAGGAAAAAAAATCCAAATAGGTCAGAAGATTTAGTATACAAAATGTATTTTCTGATAATAGCAACTTTAACTGATTTTTATGCATATAACCATTTTTATGAACTGTGAGGGAATTTAGGTTTAAAAATGCTTATTAGAATCCTCTATAAGTATTCTCAATATTTATCATCAAAACAACTTTTAATTTACATGACCACTTTGTTTTATTGTGTTCCAAAATTATGGTCATACACACACTATATATGATACATATACTTTATATACAATATTACAAAAGATATTATATATACTACACTGTATTATGTATACTATGTACATTATATATACTATATATGTGTATGTGTATATACAAGCCATATTTATATGTGTAAACAAATCATATATATATACACACACATATAAATGAGTAATTTTAAGTACTTTTGGAGAATGTGTTAAAGAAAACTGAACAATAAATACAATAACATCAATAATAAACACTTCTTATTCTAAAGTACAAATTTAGATCCTTGCCATTTTATATTTGAGTAAGTATATAAATAGGTCATGTTATATGGCTTATAAGCCTTTAGGAAACCCAAATTCAATTGATCAGTGATATCACTGGTGTTTCATACGAGGTTTTTAAAAATTAAAGGCACATCTATATTGTACCATTTCAAAGTTAGCACTGAGTTTGGGTCAGAAATATGTCATATTTTAATAATAATGGTTCACCGAATAGAATCTGCACTGCACCATTACTTTGCATGCCATATCAAAGCCATGTATACTCAGGGACATGTCTACAAGATTGCAGAAATTTTTATCTAATGGGTATTTTTACCTAATGGAAATGGCTAATATCGTATTTTCAAAAGGAACTGATGAATGGTGGAACAATGAATAAAATAATTTATTCAATATTTTTACCTCTCTAGCCTCCTACCTACCACTCCAACATGTCAACACCATGAGGGCTGAAGCCTTGTCTCTTATTTAGGGTTGTAACCTGGGGTCTAACACAGTGTCTGTCTGCATAATTTTAGCAAGGTACTCAATAAAATATGAATGTTTTTGAACAAATGAATGAGCTAAAGGAAAATAGTATAACTCATGGTGTAACACTGACTCAATAAAAGTACTAAGCTAAAACTCACCTAAACTACATGTTGAATATTCTACATTCTCAAAAGCCAACCCTTTTATATACCTGGTGTTATAGTCAATGACTTCTTCATCCGGTTTCACAAATGTATCATAGACCACCTGGAGGCTGGGATCAACCACGGTCACTTGAGTAAGTTCCAAACCTTTGGCTGTATAGCACTATAAAGGGGGGGGGACATATTAAACTTACATAGCATATTGAGTAAACATTTTAACATCTTAGATATCCTAAAGGAATATTTCTAACTAGAATATACAATTTAATCATATTATTTGGATTTGCTGACAAAAGCCAGTCAGTGGATCTGACAGTCTTGTAAAAGATGTTCCAAGCTTTAATTTTGTTTTAAATGTTAGTAGTATTTCTGCTAATAAAATCATTCCATTTTCTTGGCTTAGTCTTTACAATTATTTTTATTAGACATTAGTGCTATCCAGTAGAACATTCCATGATGACAAAATGTTTTATTTCTATGCTGTCTAGTATGGCAGCCACTAGCCACTAGTATGAGGGGCGCCTGGGTGGCTCAGTCAGTTAAGCATCTGCCTCTTGATTTTGGCTCAGGTCATGATCTCAGGGTTGTGAGATTGAGCCCTGCATTGGGCTCTGCACTGGGCATGGAGCCTGCTTGAGATTCTCCCTCCCTCTCTTCATCTGCCTCTCCCCCACTTCCATGTGTACATGCTCTCTCTCTCAAAAAAAAAAATGAAATATGGCTAGCATGACTGAGGAACTGTTACCTATTGGATTATGCGGTTATAGATTTTGTTGAATTACAAAAGAAAATCTTTACAATACATAAACATGGCATTGTAGAGGACAACATGGAAAGGATACTTGATTTCAAAGCCTGAAGCAGCCTTGTTTCCAGTTAAAGACCTAAGCTTCAAACAATGCCCTTCTCCACTTATCATTATTAAATTCTACTAATCTGCTCTCCAAATATACCATAGGGAATAAAAATTTTAGGTTTCGGCAGAGACAACCATTCACATGATGTTTGACATGTCCAACGTACTTTCCCCTATTTTAGTATATCTGATTCTCACAGTAACCATGGAGTGATTATTAACCCCATACTTTACAGATTAGAGCATCCAGGAGACTTGCTCAGGGGGTGACAGCGGGTAAGGGGTCGGGCTTCCCAGGTCATAGGATTCCAAGTTCTCTTTGTTCCCTGCTTTTTCATATTGATTCTCATATGAAGAAAAATCCCTAAAAATATTTTACCGTCTCTATAAACAAAGAGTTTCTGAAAAATTTATTCAAGTTTTTATGTTGATTCAGGGGTAACGGTACTATTTATAACATTTTCCACCCATATAAGTTCAGCAATTTGAGGAGTAGAACCACCATTGGTAATATATAAAAAAAATTAACAAATAAAAAGAGGACCAAGGACCAATTCCTGGCTCTATCCCTTACTAGGTATGGGAATTCCTCCAAGTCACCTCTCTTCAGCTTCAGTTGCTTCTGAAAGTATGTGAACTACACTGCCGAGCTTTGTGGGATGGGGATAAAGCCCAGTGAAGTGCTGTCATACAATGGAGAGTGCACCACAATAATTCGCTTGTAATTACTCCAAGAAGGGTGGAAGAGAAAACACTGACATACCACCTCACAATTCACAGCAAATACACCAGGATTACCATCGGAGCGTGGGCACTTGACGAAAGTCTTCACGAAGCCCTCTATGTTTTCTTTCTGGTCATGAACGTGAAGCTGAAATAAACGTTGCCAAATAAATTACTGTTTATTCCTGCAGGGGCAATTACACTCATAAAAATTTCCTCAATTAAAAATTAGCTAATGAATTCTTTCAAATGCTTCTTGGTCTCTGGAGGCAACACCTCTGGTCCCGACAGGAACAGTGGTCTGGATGACAAGCCCTACCTTGGCAACCTGACACCCGGCAGATCCAAGGTTACCTTCACAACAGCTGTACCGTGTCTCTAAGCCACCGAGGACTGCAAACCAACAAAAAATACAAATCAAAACAGGCAAACTCTATAAAGCAGAAGTGGCTCACTCCCAGAGTACATGTCTTACCCTACCCTCAAAGACCTTTAAGGATACTGCCGTGCACATGATCTGACGTTACCACTCCACATAGTCCTAGTTTTGGATATTACATAATGAACAGGAAAAATCAACTCCTGGAAGCAGAGTTCTTATGGGTCTCACTTTGAAGGTGAATTACAATTACCAATGTCCTGAACACCTTCTGTCTCCTTCCTTTCTCTTTCCCTGATTTTGCCCTGGTCCCTCAGCAATCCTCTGGCATTCATTTTTTTTTAAGGTTTTTTAAATTAATTAATTAATTAATTAATTAATTAAGAGAGACAATAGGCACATGAAAGTGGGGGGAGGGGCAGAGGGAGAGGGAGAAAGAATCTCAAGCTGACTCCGCACTGAGTGGGGAGGTCCACAAGGGGCTTGATCCCAGGACCCTGAGATCATGACCAGAGTCAAAATCAATAGTCGGACACTTCACCAACTGAGCCACCCAGGCACCCCTGGTGTCACTACTTTATTCTGCTTTGACTTTACCTCAACTATCTTTTCAACCTTCCCTACTCCTTGACCTTTTCTCTCTACTGGAGCCCTCTGATTGAGGGGTTCCAACTACCACCTTCTCCCTTCCTGTGTCTGAGCTGTTGATCTGACCCAAGAAACCACCCAGTTATGGAGGCTGAGACCACAACACAGATGGCGCCTCCAGCCTTGGCTGGACCTACCAAATCCTGATGCCCTGTCCTTCCGCATCTTTGACCAGGCACTTTGCACATTTTCACAGCAATAATCCCAAGCCTTCATAACTCTTTTCTTATCCCACTCCCATATTCCAGCTCATCTGCTCCCTTATCCACCTCAGCCCTTCTTCCCTCTAGCCAAGGTAACATTCTCTCAACTGTTCCCTATTAAATCCTTCTGCCTCCAGTGGTTTCTGCACCAGTTTTCCTTTAAATGTGGTTAAGACTGATTTTCCTGAAGCACACGTTCATTCTATCACTTTCCTCAAGTTGTTCCCTTGTACGTTACTGATCAAATGCCAATTTCTCAGGCTGGCACTGAAGGCTCATGCTTAACCAGCCTTACGTTACTCATCCAATCTTGACATCCCACAGCTTTATCTTACTTTCTCCTATGATGAGAAAGGGAGACAAAGAACCGGTATTAACGCAGCATCTGTCATAAGCCAGGACTTTGACATGTCACCTCACCGAATTGTCACCTAAAGCTCATTCTATGAAGGTGGAAACAAAAGCTCAGGGAGCTGACGTAACTTGCCCAAGGTCTCAGATAAAGTAGGTGGCAAAAAAGGCCCAAATCTCGGGTCTGCTGACTCCAGAGTCCTTGTTCTGTTGTTCATTACGCTGTATTGTCTGGTTAGCGCAACCGGTCTGCCCACTACACTTACTCTTCCTTCAGCGTCTTCCCTCTTTGTTTTTCTCCTCTTGGAATTCACAGTCCCTCCTCCCTGTGAAACTAAGCCCTCCATGCTCTAAACACTCAGGCCAAACCTGACTGATTTACTTTATTCTTTATCCACGTATTTTTTCTGTCATTCAATGTTCCTTTCTATTTCCTTTTCCTTGCGTTATCTTCTTCATAGCATTTAGTACGATCTCATTCATTCATATTCATGCCCATCTCTACATGAATAATTCCTGTGTCCACACACCCACCCAAAGATTTATGGACGGTCCATATGCGTTAGGTACCACGCTAAGTGCTGGGGAGACAATGAGGAGAGAAAACAAGGACGGATGGTGGTCCCTCCCAAAGCTTACAGTCTTTTGGAGATGGCAGGTAAATGACTAGATCATTATAAAATGTGGTTAAGTGCTCGCAAAGGAAGAGGCAGTGTGCAGGGGCGGAAGAGGGCAGACCTCGTTCAGATGAGGAGGCTGAGAAAGGACCTTGTGGATGGACAAGTTAAGCAGAGGCCCAGAGGATGAGGAGGATTGAGCCACGGCAAAAGCAGAGGGAACAACAGGCAAGGAGGCTCTGGATAGGGGGCCAGGGGACTGTGAAGGGAACAAGGGACAGGGTGGAAGATGGGGGCACAGGCCAAATCAGGCAGGGTCAGCAAACTAACCGAAGGCTTTTCATCAAAGCAGGGCAGAGACAGGACTGGATGTAAAAAAGTTATTCTGGGAGTTTGGGGGTGAAAAATAGATTTGGGGGGCTGGTAGAAGCAGGGAGACTGAGCAGAACGACGGTGCAACAACTGGGGACAGAGATGGGGGTGGCCTGGACCTGGGCGGGGTCCAGGAGAGGTAGAGACAGCACAGACTCAGGCTATATTCCTGAGGGAGAGCCGATGAGACAGGTGCACTGCTGAGACGAAAACGAGCACAACAGGGAGACTAATGACGGCACCCAGGTTTTCGGTTGGTGCACGCAAAACACCCACCTGAGTGGACTGTAGCCAACTACCATGTTGCAGGGAAGATGGGAGCTGGCGGGGTGGCAAATAAACGATTCTAACCCTGGCAGGGGCAAAGCAGGGGAAGGCCGGGGGGAGAGCTGACCGCCTGGAGGTCCTTCGGCACAACCGTCACAGCCTGGGTGCTCCTGAGCCCGCGGGCTGCAGGGCTACGAAGTGGTGGTCAGAGGTTCAAACTTCAGGGGTTACAGTCTCTCCTTCCGGGACTGCATTTAATGCATACAGCGAAGGGAATACTTTATTCCACTTTTCTCTCAACAGCTTGGGCACTGACTGGTCAACGAAGTGCAAGAGAGCTACCAAATACTTGCCTTTATGACTCAGCACCGGGCCAAAGTGGTAGTTACATTCTTCTACTCTGCCGTGTTTGCCTGCGGGCGTCACACCATATATCTTCCCACAACGACAACATACCTTCCTGGAAGCTAAAACAAAGGAGAAGTGAAATTATTCATGAATCTACGGAGAGAAAAGAAAAATGGATCAAAGTGCAGGGAATGAAGGGCCTGTGCATTCTTGATCATGCACGGATCACACACCCAGGGCTGACCATGCAATCACAGGAGAAGCCACAGGGCTCATCAGAGGAATACTTGCAGGTGGCCTGCTCACGGCACCAGGACCCCCTCCTCAAACAGCATCCCCTGTCTGTCCCCAGAGTCAGCCTAACGCCAGATAACTGTGGCATTAGCCCCACAGTCTGACTGTACCCAACTTGATTAATTACCTGTGTTAGTACTCAGTAGCTCCTGAAATAAGCAAGTCTTTCTTATTATTTTATCCCTTTTAGACATATAGTGACCTGTATATATATTAAGTCGCTGAGCGTATATCTGAGCTTTTCACTAGACCCATTTATGAATAATATTCCTCAAACTGGCTCCGATGATGAAAGCAACTCTTATCTGAATGTCTACTGTGAGCGTCGTCTGAGGCACGCACTGTGCCAAGCATTTCACATGCATTCCCGGACAGAGTCTCACAACAAGCGGATGGGGTAGCTACTATTATCCAGAACTGGGAAAACCAAAGCTGGGAGAGGTTAAATGACTTATCCACATCCAACCAGCACCCAAACCCAGATCTGCCTTCCTCCTTCGGAGCCCATGTTCTTAACTGGGGTAAGGGTTTAGGAAAAAAAAAAAAAAAAAGGTATCACAAATGGTGAAGATAATCCTGAGAAAAATTCTAAAGATACCAAAGATAAATATTTTGTAGTCACTGAAAAATATTCCTGTAACTGCATTTCAAACTCTAATGGACCTAAGATTTGACAGTTGTGGTGTTAAGTATCCTATATTTTCTTTTTTTGGCGGGAGAGGAATGAGTTTTAACTAACCATGCCTAGCATTTAGAGAAAACGTGTAATAATAATACCAATTGTAAATCTTTTTTTTTTTTTTTTAGATTTTATTTATTTATTTAACAGAGAGAGAGAGACAGTGAGAGAGGGAACACAAGCAGGGGGAGTGGGAGAGGGAGAAGCAGGCTTCCTGTGGAGCAGAGAGCCCGATGTGGGGCTCGATCCCAGCACCCTGGGATCATGACCTGAGCCGAAGGCAGATGCTTAACAGCTGAGCCACCCAGGCGCCCCCCAATTGTAAATCTTTTGACAAGAATTCCTAATGAAAGCATACGAAGTATTCAAAACATGACACTGCATATGTGTATGAATAGTAGTTAGGAGTAAGGACTCTAGAATCAGACTCCTTGGGTTCAAATCCTGGCTCTCCCACTTATTTTCAGAGGGACCTTTGACAAGTCATTTGACCTGTGAATGGAGGCAATGCTCGTACTTACCTGAAATGATTATTAAGATTTAATAAAATAAATTATGAAAATAAGATACACTACTTAGGTACTCGAAATGAAGTGGAAAGGGAAATAATCCTTTCAGTGTTCTAACCTTAATAAGTAGCGAGGATCATTTTCGGTCCCATATACTTACTGTCATTTACAAGCGCTTTTGTCATGCCTGAGGTTAAAAGAATACTTCCTGGTTTGTCAGGGTTGGGCTGGGGATAGTTATTTTCATGTAACTGTTCTTCAGTTAGAAGGTAGTCTTTCAGATGTCGGTAGAGAATAATTCCTGTGAGTACTAAGAAAAAAAAAAAAGGACTGTTCAATAAAATTTAAATAGCATGTTTTAAAGGAGTGGTAAGGTTAGAGTCTACTAACCCTTCCAGACTTGAAAAGCTAGGATGCTGATTAACATTAAGTAAGAGAGTAGCCTAAAAGAATCCGAGTCTCCATATCCTCTGACAAAAAGAAAAAAAAAAATTATATATATATATATATAGTTCCCTGCATCATCTGATGTCCTATACTTTGGATAAGAGAAGGGAAAGTAAGAATCAGATCAGTAATAGCTAGTGTGTATGCCAAACTATCCTAATGACTTTGATTTAAACTTTATATTAACCCAGAAGGGCAAACATATTGACCTCGTTTTTGTAGATGAGGGAAATGAGGCTCAGAGAAATGAGGACACATGACCAAGGGTACACAGCACAGTTGATATACAAACTCAGATCCTCTGGTTCCAAATCATGCTTATTGATTCTTAATAGTCACAGAGATAAGAAGAGTACAAAAGCTTACAAGTAGTAAACATGGTGTCTTTCACACAGGCAAAATCATGAGTTCAAGGATCTCTTCCCAACATCACTAACCCTTAAATCCCCTCATACTGATGGATTCTTAAAATTTCTCCTATTATTTCAAACTGGCAGAATTCGCTAGACCACCTTTGGCGAACCCTTCTGTAAAAGGAAGAATTCTTCTGTGTGAGAAGTATTAGGAAATTCTTGAAGTACCTACTTTGTTTCAGACAAGTACTTGGAGGACAAGTACTACCACCTGGTTTTATTCAAAATACAACCAAATTCAAGTAACACCTTTTCTCTAGCTTCTTGCTCCTCAAAGTTTGTTATAAATTCAGACTTTGAGGCTGTTCCCAGACCCGCTGAAGCAGAATCTGTATTTTAACAAGATTCTCAGGCAATTATATGCAAGTTAAGTTTGAGAAGTATGACTCTTGCTGGCTGGATATATGTTAACTCTCACCCTCTCAAAAAAAAAAAAGGTTGAGAATTCAAATGCTGCCTAAGTAGAGCCCATTTTTTTCATGTATTTATACTAATCTTTAAAAAGGATCTCAAGTATGCACGGTCTGCAGGTGATCCTTCATAAACAACAGTTTAATAATTACATTATGCTGCATTTAGTTCTCCTTTAAGGTGATATGGACAAGGGTTTGTCATCATTACACCAAGCTTACCACTTCTCTTCTCATTCTTTTTCAATCCAGTTGTTTTGTTGCTGTTACTGCTTCCAGACACATCTAGAACATACAAGAACTTTTCTCCTGAGACCATGAATTATCATTGTCTGCTTCATAAAAAAATATAGAACACAAAAAAGGTGTATAGCATAGTCAAGACTTTATTTTTACCTTAAAACAAGCACCCAACAAGTGAGACCAAATAACTTCATAACCAATTCCAACTTGAGAAAAAAGTTAAATTTACTGAACTACTAAAAAGGTCAGGGCTTCATAGTTTCCAAAGCTAATATATTTTGTATATTGGCTAGAGTATGTCTAAATGTGAGTCAATGAGTTTTCATCATCATTGACTACAACTCTAACAATTTGCAAATCATTTCTATTTCCATTGCAAATATCCAAAATATGTACTTAGACCTCTATATTCAATTTCTGTGTGCTATATTTAATATGAAAAGGGGGGGAAGTTAGAATACTATAAAAATACTAACCTAAGCGACCTTGTATATTTTTTTTAATTTTTATTTTATTAAGTTTTTTAATTCCAGTATAGTTAGCATACAGTATTATATCAGTTTCAGGTGTACAATACAGTGATTAAACACTTGCATACGTCACCCCGTGTTCATCACAAGTGTAGTCCTTAGTCCCCATCATCTATTTCCCTCATCCCCCCACCCACCTCCTCTCTGGTAACCATCAGTTTTCCTCTCTATAATTAAGAGTCTGTACTTTGGTTTGTCTCTTTTTTTCCTTCGTTCATTTGTTTTGTTTCTTAAATTCCACATACAAGTGAAATCATATGGTATGTGTCTATTTTTTACTTACTGTGCTTAGCATAATACACTCTAGATCCTTCCTTGTTGTTGCAAACAGCCAAGATTTCATCCTTTTATATGGCTGAGTAATATTCCATTGTGTGTATATATGTATGTGTACATATATGTATTTATATAAAATATAATGTATGTATATATCTTCTTTATCCATTCATTTATCGATGGAAACTTGGACTGCTTCCATAATTTGGCTCTTATAAATAATACTGCATTAAACATATATGTGCATATATTCTTCTGAATTAGTGTTTTCTTATTCTTTGGGTAAATACCCAGTAGTGCGATTACTGGGTCATAGGGTAATCCTATTTTTAATTTTTTGAGGAACCTCCATACTGTTTTCCATAGTGGCTGCACCAGTTTACATTCCCACCAACATTGCACGAGGGCTCCCTTTTCTCCATATCCTCAACAACACTTGCTGTTTCTTGTGTTTTTGATTTTAGCCCTTCTGACAGGTGTGAGGTGATATCTCATTGTAGTTTTGATTTATATTTTCCTGATGATGAGTGATGTTGAGCATCTTTTCATGTGTCTGTTGGCCACCTGTATGTCTGTATGTCTTCTTTCAAGAAATGTCTGTTCATGAGACCTTGTATATTTTAATGCACATTTAAGTCTACTTCAAGTGCTGTATATTTTTTAAATGCCTTAAAGAAATTATAAAGTTTTTATATTCTTGAAATTAGAATAGCCTTTGTAAGCATAACACAAAACCCAGAAACCAAAAAGGAAAATACCTTCCATATTATTAAAAACTTAATAAGGCTGAAGTACAAGCAACAAACTGAAGAAAACATCTGCAGCGCATTTAAAGGAGATATGCAAAAAGCTGTTGCAGATGATAGGCCAATAACAAAAGGGGGCAGAAGGATGCAAAAAGGAATTTTAAAAGAGAGAGGAAAAGGAAGTCTTCATAGTAATAAAAAAAAGACTAAAATAACTTCATTTCTGGCCTATTCTTTCACACTCTGAAAGAGGATAAATGATTAACTTTTGCAAGGTGTGAAGACAAATACATATACTCCTACCTTATTAGTGGGGGATGTAAAGGGCAAACATTTTCTGGAGGCAGTTAGCAATATTTACCAATTTTAAACATGCAGACCCTTTCTGCTAGCTACTCTGTGCAAGGAATTTATGTTAAGGATATATCTGCTCTAGTATGAGGAAATGTCAGAGTTCACACTCCATTAATCACAGAACCTATGGTAGAAAAAACATGTAATCAACTTAATACTCAGATGCATTCGTTTCATCTGTATTACACATTCCATACAATGGAATATCAATACTATAGGTTCTATACAATCGACTATCACGTAGTTATTAAAAAGCATGGTATAGATCTAGATGTTAACACAGATTCTAGATTGACTAGAGACTTCTATGATACCTTATTCAGTGAAAAAAGTCAGACTATACATAAAATGATTGTATTCATTTAAATCATTAAAATATATATTTCTGTATTCACTTTATATAATTACCCCCTTATATGGGTCTATATAGGAGATTTCGAAGAAGGCTGTCTGGCTGTGTTTTTAGTTTAGTTTTTTTTTTTTTAAGAGACAGAGCATGGGTGAGAGTGGGAGAGGGGCATAAGGAGAGGGAGAGAGAGAATCTTAAGCAGGCTCCACACCCAGCATGGACCCCAAAATGGGGCTCAATCTCACCACCTGAGATCACAACCTGAGCCGAAATCAAGAATTGGATGCTTAAACAACTGGCCAACCATGTGCTCCTAGCTGGGTTTTTTTTTAATGCTTTTCTGTATTATTTGAATTCATGCTTGTATTCTCGGTGAGGGTGGTACTGCCCCTAAGCAAACAAAATTGGCTCTTGTGGAATAAAAAAACCATAGCTATTACAATGGTATGTGGCTCTCCAAAACTCAACCTTACCCAACAAAATATTATCCCTTAATACTTAATCTTACTGGGGATTGTAGAAAAACAATGGGGTGGTAGAAAAAACAATGTCTAAAAAGAGGCCTGAGGGGGAACAATAATGAAAAAAAAAAAAAAACCAAACTAAGAAATACTATTCCACATGGAATGAGTTACTTTTATAACCAAAAACCAAGTTTAAATATCTCCGTGATAACCGCTCTTGAGGCTATATTCCTTTGTCTAATTCCAAATCTGATTTGTTATTTTCAATCAAATATCCCACTTGCACATTCTACTTAAGAGAGTATTTTAAAAATACATTGCACTGGATATCTAAAAACAATCCTGCTAATGAAAACACACATTCAGTGTCAGGTATTCATCACAAGTTTTTATCTTACCACTTGATTAATTAAGAAGAAATTACCTTGATGGCTCAGCTTCTTAAGAGTATTTATTGCTATGTTCACATACATATTTCTACTGCCACAGCGTTCATAAATGGCCTTTTCTTCTATTTTAGCCTAGAACATGAAGTGAATAATAAAAAATATCAAATCTCAAGTCTATGGATAATAAATATCATTTATGATATAATGGAATAAATATGGCAAAATATTTAACTCAAGGGATGGGGGGAATGGCACAAATAAAAAACACATTTTTGGGCTTATGGTGTTTGAGAGAAAAGAAAAAAATAAACTTATCCCATATATCAAATCCAAGAACTAGATACTTATCGTCACAAACTAAAACCACGGTCTAGAGGGCACAGTGCAAAAAGCCTAGAGTGTATATAAACTCATTTGATTCTCAAAGGGAGCCCCTAATGTATCAAAGGCATATACTATTATTCTCATCTAAAAGGTGAGGAAACTAGGCTCAAATTGCTAAAGACTTTGCTTAAGGTCATACAGCAAAGGGAAGACAGGATCCTCTTTTCTTTTCTTTTTTTTTTTTTTTTTTAAAGATTTTATTTATTTGGGCGCCTGGGTGGCTCAGTTGGTTAAGCGACTGCCTTCGGCTCAGGTCATGATCCTGGAGTCCCGGGATCGAGTCCCGCATTGGGCTCC